GGTGCTGAGATACACTTTCTGGAATGATGAAGTTTCTGATGATTTGCCCTGGTTTGTCATTTCACACTGCCAAGCTTGCCTGAACCTCTGCAAAAATACTCATGATCCCAGACAACCCCCAGATCACACCCAGCCAGGTTCCCGGGGCCGGACCCGTCGGTTCCCCAGGGCACACTCACACTCCACCTATGTGGTGCTCTTGCACGGATGTCCTTGTTGCCTGGGCTGGGGTGGTGCTGGCTCTTAGTTCTTTTGATGTAAGTCAGAGGTAGCACCCATGACAGTGAAATTTCCTTTTAATTGCTTTTGTTACTCTTGTCTGTTTTCCTGTGATCATAAAAGCTAAAACTACATTTCAGATACTTTGCACAGGTTATGTCATTTAGTCCTCCAACAACCAATAGGAGGCAGGAATTGTTGTTACCCTATCTTGTGGTGAGGACACAGGCACAGGGAGGTTAAGGAGCTTGTCCAAGAGCACACAGAAAGCAGCGGGACTCAACCGAAACCCCGACTTCCCAGGGCCTTTTCACTTATGCACTCTGCTGCTGCCTCTGATTGCCTTAATAAGTCACCCATAGCAGAAGGGACCAGCTGCTCATCTGGGAGAGGGGTAGGGAAGTCAGGAGTGAGAGAATGCCCTCCAAACCCTGAGCAGCCCCTCGGAGCTCTACTAAACCGTAGCAGGCCTCCTAAGAGATCTCCTTGTTTCTTCCTTGCCCCTACCCTGAGGTCCCATTAAAGTGTACAAGTCAGATTGGTTGCACAGAGCCCCCTTCCCAGCTCCCTGTCTCAGGTGCTGACCCTGCCCCCACTACTCTGTCTGTCACCTTCATCTCCCCAAACAGGTCAGACCTCACCTACTTCAGGGTCTTTGCACTTGCCGCCCCCTGCCTGGAATTTCCATCCTCCAGTAGTCCACGCTCTCCCTCCCTTTAGGTCTGTCTGGGTTCAGGTTCTCTTGAGAGCAGAGTCCACAGCTAGTGCTTCCCTGGGTGATATAATCCAGATAACAAGAGGGAAGGGAAAGAGCAGTGAGAAGGAAAAGGTGGGAAGAACGCAAGCTGACACTTCCTGAAGTGGCACCTGCCTGGCAAAGACACTGCCAGCTGCTCGGCCCCGTGGGCCTCATCCAAAAGGCTGTCCTAATAGGGGGGCGGCAGGTAGGAAGGCATCCAGCTTCAGGACTGTCCTTTCCAGGGAGGTGTGGAAGGCTTTTCTGCCAGCTCCTTCTCATCTGCTATCCCCTGTGGTCAAACTTCACGCCAAGAGTGAGCTCCCCTGTGTCCAGGGTCTTCGCCAGGCCCTTCGGCAGCAGCTGGGATATGAGGCCCACACTGTGGTGTGGTGCTTTACTCACGTTTTTAGGAGGCAGTGGAGCCAGAGACTGGATGGCCTCAGGTGTGAAGTGGGTGCATGCCCAGCCGTGGCGGGAAGCACTGAGAGGCTGCAGGCCTGGGAGGTGGGGAGGCTGGGGGACTCTTGAGTGAGCACATGTGAGGGGTCACTAGCAAGGTCCTTGTCAAATGTCACCCACATGTGGGCCCTCGCTCACATTTCACGCCTCCCTCCCCCACATCCTGGTTTCATGCTCTGCTTCTTGTTCCTTGTTGCTTGTCAGTTTTCTCAGAGGATGGAAGCTCCCTGAGGGCAGAAAAGGTGGCTGTCCCCTCCTCGACCCTCACGCCAGCCCTAGTATGGCAGGTCAGGGCAGGTCAACCCATGGAAGCTGCTGGCACGTGACGAGCCCTGTGAATGCCACTTAGCCCTTCTTACTGTTGTGGTTGGCTGTTCTGCAGCTTGTTTGTCTCTGGCCAGGAATCCCCCGCATTGGTCCGTCTGGTCCCTTCCTTTTAGTGGGCACCTAGCATTCTGTAGAACAAAGGTGTGTGCTAGGCCCTGGGAGCCCAGCAGCGGGCAGCACAGAGCCCCTGTCCTGTGGAGCTGTGTCCTAGAAAGGCTAAACTGAGCAACATGTGGGCGCAAGGTGGGAGAAGCAGGCAGCAGGGAGGCAGTGCTGTTCCTGCAGGCTCGGAGCTGAGGCACAGTCAGAGCAAAGTCCCTGAAGTCATGGGCTGGGCCAAGGGTAGACAGGTTACAGGACATGCCCAGGAGGTCACGGGGACTGCACCTCGCAGAGCCCCTAGCCCCTCCAGGCAGAGCAGGGGCTGGTGTGGGCTTCCTTCACAGGGATCCCTCCTGCTGCTGCGTGGACATTATGGGGCAGTGGTTCTCAAGCTTCCTAATGCCATAATGTATTTTCATTGTTACAAAGGCATGACCCACAAATTGAGAACCACTGTTACGGGGCCAGGTGCAGGCAGGAACCCAGTTTGGAAGCTGAAGCTGGTGCCTGGGCAGGATGGTCAGTAGACAGTCTTCCCCAGACAGGATGCAGTTAGCCTTCTGCTCATGGTTCTATCCAGGTTTCTATTACTCCACACAAGCATTTCCATGTAGTGGCTTCCTAGGAGTGGGAAGCGTATGAGCATACAAATTATGTGTTGCTGGGTACACAGATTTTCCTCCAGAAAAACTCACATTACACCGCCATGCACAAGCACCTGCTCCCGCCGCCAACCAGCACCAGATGCGGTCAGTCTGCTAATTTGGGTGACCTGATGGGCAAAGTACCTCGTCCTTTGTGTTTTCCTGGTGCCCATGAGGTCAAGCTTCTTTCCACCAGTTCACAGATCTTTGGTATTTCTCTTGGTCACAGACTTTGTGTTCAGCCTCTCTCTTCCCAAAAGTTACCTTTCATTTTTTCATCGAGTTAGCTAGAACTTCCATAAAATGTTTTGAAAGCCTGAAGAGCCATTTTGTTCCTGACTTTAATTGGAACAGTAGTGGCATTTTAGGTTTTGTGACTTAGGGCATCGATCCATCTGGCTGTCTAGCCCGTAATAAGCAAGTATCCTCTAATTGAGATTTTTTCCCTTTAACTGTAAACTTTTCCTCTCGTGGCTACGTGTAGACATTGGCTTCTGAAAATCTAATATTGTGGAAGACATGTCCAAGACTAGCATGATTTTCCTCCCTTGG